TTCTGTTCATCTATCATAAAGTTCACTGATTCTTCTATTATCTCTGTTTTACTATTAAGGCCAATTGGTGAATTTTAAGTTTAGCTACTATATTACAGAACTCTACTTTGCTCTTTTTTAAAAAATAATTTTACTTATTTATATTTTTGGCTGTGCTGGGTCTTTGTTGCTGTGTGGGCCAACTTTTCTCTAGTTGCAGTGAGCGGGGCCCACTCTCCAGTTGTGGTGTGCAGGCTTCTCACTGTGGCAGCATCTCCTGTGGCGGAGCACAGGCTCTAGAGCACACAGGTTTCAGCAGTTGTGGTGCACGGGTTTAGTTGCCCAGCAGCTTTTGGGATCTTCCTGGACCAGAGATCGAAAAAACTGGTGTCCCCTGCACTGTAAGGTGATTCTTAACCACTGGACCACCGGTAAAGTCCTAGTAATGTCTTCTATTAAAATTTTAACCACCCTGTCAGATGCCAACTTCAGTCTTTCTCTGGCAAGAAACAGTAAAAATAGAAAATTGACTTCATGTTGTCTCTTCTTGAAAGTGTCAGTCCTTTTTTAGAATTTGCCCGCTTTTGCTCATTTTCCCAGTGCTTTCAGGTCTCCCTTTCTAACCCCACAATTTTGTCCAGAGTATATATTTACATGAAGAAAGTTACATGTGCACTGTGGCATGTGGGGTCTTAGTTCTCTGATCAGGGAAATGAACCCGTGTCCCCTGTGATGGAAGTGCAGATCCTTTTTTTAAAAAATAGTTTCAGTTATTTACATCCTTTGGTCTTTGTTGCTGTGCACAGGTGTTCTCTATTGGTGGTGAGCGGGGACTACTCCTCGTTGTGGGTGCACAGGCTTCTCACTGTGGTGGTTTCTCTGGAGCCGGTGGGCTTCAGCAGTTGGGGCACAAAGGCATGAGAGTTGTGGCTTACAGGCTCTAGAGCGTGCGCTCATGTACTGGTGGCACATGGGCTTAGTTGCTCCGCTACATGTGGGATCTCCCTGGACCAGAGATCAAACCAGTGTTCCCTACACAGCAAGACAGACTCTTAACTACTGGACCACCAGAGAAGCCCCAACAAAGGTCCAGTAAAAGCCTACTTGGCCACATTGCAAGAAAAATCACTGTGATCTTGTTTTTAAAAACTTATTTCAGAATCACACTGTGTGTAGTATACAGATTCACTTTCAATGACATGAAAACAAGTATTATTCTGAAAACGTTTTCTCACTTGTTTTGTCTACTTTAAGTATTTATCATGTAATAAAAACTACTGTGTTAAATAATATAGTTTTTATTAATAAACTATGAACATTTTCGCATAACAGAAGAAGCTCCAACTTTGACAGCAAATTGACAGTAACTAGAAAAATAATGCATATACACAGAAGTGAAATTGATAAGCAGTGGCGTAAGGATCCAAGAGAAATATGTGCATATGTATAAAAACAGATGAGTACAGGATGTTAACTTCAGCAATGTCTACAATAGTAAAACATGGAAAATAACCCAAATATTAGTTAAAAGAAAAATAGTATAGTAATAAAATGGGTTATTACACAGCGATTAAAATAAATAAAATTATATATACCTCCATATGAAAAGAGTTAAAAAATCTAATGTTGAATGAAACAAGTTGCATAACAAAGATAATATTAAAAAAAAAAAGATAATATTTATTTTTTGGGTGAGCTCTGCATGAAATGAAGGATCTTAGTTCCCCTATCAGGGAACTAAACCCATGCTCCTAGCAATGGAAGCACAGATTTGTAACCACTGGACCACAAGGGAAGTCCCAACAAAGATAAAATTAATAAAGTTTTAAAAGCACAAAACAATACCATATATGCACATTTAAAATGTAGTGGAGCAGAAACTAACACAACACTATAAGATAATTTCCCTCCGGGGAGATGGGGGAATTGGGTCAGATGGTAATCAAAGGGTCCTTTAGTTTGAAAGCAAATTTTAATTAACAATAGAAGTTAATTCTAATATACAGAAATACAAGTGTATTTCTTTTTGTACTTCACATCAACCTGTAACAACTCCAGTGGCTGTATAACATTCGACTGCACAGATATGTCACATACTCCAACAATCTTTAATTGTTGAGGCACTGAGATACCTGCCACTATTGTAAACAGCCCTACAAAGAATATCTTTACAGTTGTTTTCGCACATAAATTTCTTTTCCCCTTAAGAGTACATACCTAGAAACAAAATTGCTAGGTCATTTCCAGGTCTGTTATATACTGCCATATATACCACAGAATAGCAAAAGGAAAATAAAAGACCATTAATTTTTTCATAGCTTCCTTTGCCTATTTTCCCCAACAACTTTAGGTAGAATATAATTACAGAATTGGTTTTACTTTAGAAATGAAGACTGCTCAGATACACTGCTTAGAGTTAGATGCTGGCATATATTAGATAATTTACATCTTAAAAGATTTATTCATGATGTAAGACAATTTTAAAAGGTTTTCAATTCTGAAACCTTCAAAGGAAGAACTTTTAGCTTCTTGGTGTAATTATACTAGTTTTCTTGAATTATCATCTAAAAATATCTGTTAATCATAGAATTTGTTCAGTGACAAAACAACTTAAACTTCCATAGTCCTTTTCACCTCTCACACTAGATTAAATAACTCAGTTGAGATTTATTAATAATTAGTATTTACACAATACTATTTACTATAACACTATGAAGCAGGGCAAAATACCACAATATTAACAAAGCAAGATGCCAAACCAATTTGGCTAACTGTCAAAGGTCACACTAAAGCAGGAATTTGTCAGGATTAGACACCGGATTGTTACCTAATTTCTATACACCTCATCACTTCAAAAACCTATGTTTAAGAATTTTGACAACTCATGAAGAAAGCTAGTATTTACCAGGGTCAGAGAAATGGTATTGATGATCACCTACATCAACATCTTCACTTTAGAGATAAGAAAACTAAAGCCCCAAAAGGTGATGTAACTTAATTGTTTAAAGTCACATTTCTAGATGGTGTAAAGCAATAATACGGATTCAGGTCTCTTTAATCCAAGTTCATCTTCAACTTCTAGAGTATAACAGCTATCCTTAACTGCCATTTCACATTTTTGAGTTTATAAAAAAGCCTCAGTGTTTTCACAGATAATTAGTAACACTGCATTCAGTAACAAATAATGATCCAGGACCTACTATATGCCAGGTCCTGTACCTGCTGCTAAATGAGTATTTAATATATACCAGGCCCTCTGAAGAAAGCGGAGCACTGAATAATTTGATGCTTTTCAACTGTGGTGTTGGAGAAGACTCTAGAAAGTCCCTTGGACTGCAAGGAGATCAAACCAGTCAGTCCTAAAGGAAATCAGTCTTGAATATTCACGGGAAGGACTGATGCTGAAGCTGAAGCTCCAATACTTGGCCACCTGATGTGAAGAACTGACTCATTAGATAAGACCCTGAGGCTGGGAAAGAATGAAGGCAGGAGGAGAAGGGGACGACAGAAGATGAGATGGTTGGATGGCATCACTGACTTGATAAACGTGAGTTTGATGAATCAAGGAGTTGGTGATGAACAGGGAAGCCTGGCGTGCTGCAGTCTATGGGGATGCAAAGAGTCGGACATGACTGAGTGACTGAACTGAGGCCCTTTATAACCTGCATTTACACTTGCAATCTTCACACTATTAGAAAGTAAGTACCATCATTATCTCTATTTTAAGGATTAAGATTTAGTAAGGGTAAGTAACCTGCCTATGGTCTTTAGTAAGGAAATACCCTTATAAACAAGAAGTAAACGGGGCCTCTCTGCTGCAGGCTGGAATGGGCAGCAGTCGTGGCTCTGCAGCAGCCCACGGCTGCAGGCTTCAGGGTGACCCAGACGCCAGCAGGGAACCTAACCAAGCAAAGCAAGTTAGCGGCACCCTTGCTGGAAGAAGTGACCAGAGGGAAGTGGCTGCTAAGGACTAGGCCCCCTGCTTATTCTGTGCATAATAAAACCTTTACAGGGGGAAAAAAAAAGTAAATGGTACAACCTCACTTAAAAAGTTTCTCTTAACAAAAACCTCGTTTTTGTTTTAAATATTATAACTCTGTGTCTGATTTCATTTGAAAGAGGAATCTATTGTTTAAAAAGCTTGGAAAACCACAGAGTCCTGCATAGCACTTAACTCTGGCCACACTGATCATACACCAAGTGCAGAACCTCATATCAGATCAGAGGTTGGGAGTTGATATTGGAGGCTTTATAGATCTTTTTTTCATTACACTAAGACACCAGAACAGAGAGCATCTGAAGTAATTTAAATGAAGGCCAACAGCTACGAAAGTAATCACTCAAATAAACAGAAGACAAGCAGAAGGGCTTCTAGTACCATATAAAGAGTTTTGACCTGAAGAATGTCAACAAGGTCCAGAGTAGAACAATGCATGAGTTCTCCTAAAGTATCACTGGCACGACCAGTACTACAGTACTGGTTACCTACTTCAGAGCATAAAATCTCTGTGGTATAAGATCAAATTAATTAAAAGTTTCATTTAGTATCTTCCCAGCAGGAATTCCTTTCTCTTTGATTGCTAAATAGATTTTACAAGGGCTAAGCAAAAAACCCAAGGGCTAAGCAGTGCTACTATTAGTGAGATTTTATAATAATCTGTGTAAACAAGAGCCTAGTGATAGTCTTAAAAGCAGCAATCTCCCCTACAGTCAACATATAATGAAAGGAGGACCTTGAAAAAACTGGACAATGACATTTTTTTTCTTTAGGAGAATATTAATTTTACCAAGTAGTCTCCTGCTTTGGGAAACATATGTATAATAAAACCAAATCAAACAAGCATTTAAAAAAAAATCTACCTTTCCCCATTATACAGTATATTTTATTCTAGCTATAATTTAGTGATATAAATCAGAGACTAAGAAAATGGCCCTCTAAATAATCAATCATAGCGGAACTAACCACATGCAGTATTTATTTTTTTTTCCCCACATGCAGTATTTCTGATGTAAACAGTTACCTGATAAGTGTGTCAGAAGTCTTGTTAGGACAGGCTTGTTTACCGGTTCAGTCTTGCTAAGGATGGAAATAACCTCTGCCCTAGTAGTTTCTTTGGTAACAGTGGGCTTCTTGGAAATCTCAAGATCAGATCCAGTCTTGACATCTTTGTGTTCCAGGACATCATATGATTTCTGTGGCCAAGAAGATTCTGGAACAAATGTTAAAGTCTGTTTGAATATTTCTTCAGGAGATTCTTCTTTATCCTGTACAGAAGCTGACTTCTCAACCTTCCTTTCACTCAGTTCTTTAAGTGCTTTGATTGTGAGCTGTTCTTGTTCTAAGTCGAGCGATGCTACTGGAGTACCTTGGGTAGGGAAAACTTCCAGAAGCTCACTCCCATTTGTTTCTTTGCTTTGTTTACTGTATTTGCTTTTTATGTTTTTAATTTCAGAAACACCTGACTTACTCTCATGCAAAACATCCAGAGGAAGAATTGTTTTAAAGTCCTTAGTTTCCTCTGATGTTGCTTCGAAGGTATTTCCTTCACCTTTACTTACTATTCCTTTCTCTCTGGTTTCTGTAAAGGCCGCCATCAGGTCCTCTGGGGAAGAATCATCTATATCTTTCACATTTTTTTCATGCAATGCCTCCAAATAGGCAGAGGTTGTCACACTTTGTGAGAGTTCTGTAGGAGATGCTTCTGAAGGGAGTTTGGGGTTCTCAGCTGCAACAGGCTTTTCAGGAACAGCTTCATGCTTACTGCCTGACTGCTTCACTTCTGACGTGCCATTCTTATTAGATACTAGTGAACATACTGCCTCACTTGGGCTCCTTTCAAGAGGATCAGGCTGAACTTGTTGTGGCTCAGAGTCACTGACAGACCCTTCAAAATTTTCAGATGTTCTTTCTCTCTTATTACAACTGAGGATCTCTTTGACTTCTCCATCTGTTTTTACAACAGGAGTTGGGATGGAAACAGGTTTTTCAGCCTGAATTTTGTTGCTCTCAAATGAATTATCTGCTGTGAGGTCCTCTATTACTGTGTCATCAGAATCACCAGAACTATCAGCCTCTGTCACTTCTCCCAACACAGAGGTCCGCCAGCTCATTCCACCTTTCAGGTGGCTGTCGGGTAAAACCACTTTATCTGTGGCTACTCCAGAACCAAGAGAGACACATTTCTCCAGTGGAGATCCAGGTAACTCTGAAAGTGTGTCATCTCTTTTCTGCACTTTGTCTTGCACATCTTTGATAGTGACTGCCTGTGTGGAATCAAAATGGTCTGGCACAGCATTTTCCTGCGGGAGAGATGTTTCCGCCCAGTCACCTGGTGATTTAGTGTTAGTAGTGCTTCCATTACTAGAACATACAGGAATTTTCTGAGTGTTCATTTTCAGATTTACAACAGGAATTTCTGAATTATATTCACTTGTGCCAAGTCCTGAAGTTTTTGTGTTGTACTCAGATTTATCACTCTGCTGTTTCACTTGGGGAACCAAATCCCAAGTCAGTACTTCGTTAGTAAAGTTATGCATATCATTCACACATCTAGATACCTCCTCCAATGCTGCAGTTGTGTGTGAAAACTGCCTGATGAGCAATGCAGAGGCCGGGTAACGCCCTGCTTCTTTCTTTCTCAGTGGAAATACTTTGTCATTAGACTCTGAAATGTCTGCAGGTGATTCTCTACTAGTATGCACTGCCCAGCTACCAAAATCATTTATGCTTTCCTTATATGCGTCTTTAAATTCTTTGTCAAATGCTGCTTTGTCAATTATTACTTCAAATGGTGATTCAGGGGAATCCTTTTCCATAACACCACCTCCTGAAGCTTCAGAAGGAGACAAGGAATATGGACAAACGCCTTCGGCTTTAGGCTGCAGGGTGGGTGGCTTCTGGGCTGTTAGCAAAGTGAACTTGTCATCTGCATCCGAGGCAGGTATATCATCCCTATTTGGTTCCTCATTTGGGTTCCTGGACTCTTGATCTTTATTTATCTGTTGTTCCATTTGACCATCTTCCTTTGAGAGAAAAGCAGGATGACCCAGGAAGCTGAGTGGAAAGGAAGGATGGTCGCAGTGAACTTCTCCTGCAGCAGAAACTGGGGAGTCTTCTATGTCTTTGCTGGTCCCCAGAGGCTTTTCCATCTTTTTCCCATCTAGAAGAGCCAAGCAGTCTTTTGCTTCTTGGGCTAAAAGAATCTGGTTGCCTAACATTTTGCTTTTTACTCCATGTAGTATTGTAAGGTCAGTGTTACATATTTCAGAAGATGAACAAGAGGAGGAAGTCGTAATTTCTGAAGGTGGCTCATCAGAGCAAAGAGAGCTCAATCTCTCTAAGGCCAGAATTTGAAAGAAAAACAATTGTTTACCAGGTACAATTACACATTAGCTAGTCAGGCCAAGCAGCATGCTTTTTATTTTTAAATTCACATATATATATACACACACACACACACACACAGGATGTACATATACATACATAAATATGTAACAAAGCAATGATCAACAGTTATAAGACATGCATAAAACCGCCAGCAGTGAAACAGAAAAGGCTTATCATGCTACAAACTGCAAATGACAGAAAATTTTCATGACAAAATACTTATCAATCTACATTTTCCTTTAATGGTAAAGCATGAAGAAGGTTATAATAAAGATTGGATAATCTGGGGAAGTGTTTATTCCTGTTCCTTTGGTATTTAGTAGAGCTATTCAGCAGAAACAATGTAATCCATGTAAAACATATTATGAAGTACTGATACACTCTCATCTGTAGGTGGAACAATTCAGAACACACCCCTTTTATAAAACCACTGGTAAGAGCCTGACTATCTGAAAAGGAAAACAAGTGACGAGAGTTTTTTTTTCCCCAAGAGATACAGCGGACCCCCCAGCCTAAAAATCAGGCTAGAAGTACTCCATTCTATCCACAGGGAAGGTAGGCCCCAGGTAGAGAGGGCCTGAATATTTTAAAGGATATTGAAAATGTTGGTCTGTTCCAAAACCTCTTGTACCAACTTGTTAACTGAAAACTGAACTGTGTACACTGGTTTCCTTTATTAAGAAGAGTGAACTCCAGAAAATCTTTTAAAACAGAAAATACCCCCCTAAAAGCAATACATTAATTAGGTCTTATCAGTTTTTAATATCACAGTAGCCACTGATTTACCACCCTGTTTTCCAACTCTCCAACCCAGGAAGTTTTTTACTGGAGAAAAGATCAGAACAACTGTCCCAAGCGCAAGCACCATCGTTCTCATACACTGCTGTATCTCTGCAGCTGGAACAAAATAGGTCTAAACAAAGAGTTCCAAACGAATGACTCAAAGATTCAGCTTGCTCAGGTGAGCCCTAAGTCGGCCTCAGGCCAGAAATGCCTTCCTTGAGTGTGAATGAGCAATTGGGAAGATGTGAGAGAGAAAAACTTTTGGGATTACTTTTATTCACTTATGTTTCATTTGAGAAGCTGAATAATAATTAGACAAAAGCAAAATTATGACTTTATTTTATTCAAAATCATTTTATAAAGATGAAAAGAAATACTTAAATATCCTACTGCAAGAAACAAAATTCTACTATTACAAAGTGTTTCCAAATGCCAGATAAAGTTCCTATATCTTAAAACACTACTGTAATCTGATGTAACAGGATCTCTGACCTTTAGCACAGTGTAACCATAATCTGGGGGAAAAGTCTTTGTAAATTGAGAATAAAATAGTTGGAAGTTTGGTGGTACAAACTGTACCCATGAGACAGAAGTAAGCTATAATTCATATTTAGTTCTAATGCAGTGAATATGGCTTTGCATCTATCACTGTACAGTATGGATACACAGCAAGATTGATTAAGGATAAATGAAGCTCACCACTGCAGGTTAAAAAGCTTAAAGACCTGAAATTTAAAGAACTATGGACTACATTAATATCAGAATATTTCACAATCTGAGTTACGTATTTTTTTTTTGAGTTATGTATTATTATCAAATTTACTGGTGAATGTTTCTACCAGGAGACATTTAATGAACTAAATCTGGAATAAGGTAAAACTGGGACCCCCCTCCCTTCAAATGAATGGAATCTTGAACAAAACTGACTCCACCTCTCACAGGGAATGCTCAGCTTATATGTTTTATGGAGATTGAGATTTCAGATAATTTAGGCTTGTCATTTAACAGACACAAGTAGACAGAATGAATTAGTAATAATTCATTGTTAACTACTGAGTGCCACTATCATGTGCCTGACACTGTTTTAGAATCTAGATTAAAAACCAGTGAACACAGAAAAAATCCTTGCTTTTGTGGAGCTTACAATACAGAGTGGGAGATAGAAAAGAAGCAGTCAACAGATAAAATGATGATGATGATGATGATGATGGATTTGATGAAATGAAAAAGAAAGCAACTGATACTGGATGCTAATGAAAGAATGCACACAGTATTAGAAACAAAGTAAGTATGGTAGGGAGCTTCCTGGTGGTCCAGTCGTTCAGACTTGCTTTCTCTGCCAGTAAGACCCGGTTGACAAACTAAGATCCCACAAGCCATGTAGTGCGGCCACACACACACAAAAAAAGGATGGTAGAAATATTCTATGCTTTGTCAGGACACAAAACTCTGTTTTCTAAGCCTTGTTTCTTTTCTAACCTTCCTTGAACTCTTAATACTCCAGAAGTTAGAATTAGGTATATAATAATCTGAGGTAAAAACTAGATTAGGTTAGAAATCTTATTCTCAGAATGCCAAGTTCTGTACTGAATCCTGTGACTTCTTGACAGACTTCATTTTACTGAAGATTCTTTAATATGACATAACTATTATATACACAAAAATAGCTTTGTCATGTTCCCTAATACAATACTTGGAGCAGACAGTGTTTTCTGGGGGGACAGGTTTAGGGGCTAAACAGAGTATGATGCTGCATTCTTTCCTCAGTAATCAGGAGAGTAATTCCTCAGCTGATAGCATCTATTAGCTATCAGCTCTACATATTAGCTCTCATGACAGTCAGTCAAGCTTCCCCACATGTAGCAAAGTAAGTTAGCATTTTTGCTAATTATCTTACTTAGAATTTCAGCAAATGGAAAGAAGTTCATTTGGCTAGTTGAAATTCTAACAAACTTGAACAGAGCTGATTTGTATTAAGACATGGAAAAAACCGGTCTGGAAGTAAAGTGCTTACAATGATAAGAAAACATTAAATAAAATAAAGACCAGAATCTAATAGGTCTTTAGAAACTACACTGGCAAAAGACGCTTTCAATTAGTCAGCATGACACTTAACAGTCATTACTCAGAAGTCTACATTTACGTATATTATCTTAAATAAGATTAGGAAATTAAGCTGGCGGTCATACTCTAAATTTCCAGACCACGCCCAAACCCCAAATTCCTATTAAAAGTTGCAAAATCCTTTCAGCACACATACTAATGGTGTGTGGCTTTGTCAAGTTGCTTAATACCATCTGAAAATTGGGATACTAAAGTACCTAACTTAAGAACTGCTATGAGGATTAAATTGAGTTAATATATTAACTCAAAATTTTGATTGGAATAAGGCAAAAGCTCCATTTGACTAGAGAATCTTGTGAGGAAATTGAAAAAGTTTCCCCTCTTCTATATAGAGTGTTATATCTCACAGAACAAGATGTGGTTAAGGCGCTAAGTCATGTCTGACTCTTGCAATCCCATGGACTCTTGCCCGCCAGGCTCTTCTGTCCATGGGATTCTCCAGGCAAGAATGCTGGAATGGGCTGCCATGTTCTCCTCCAGGGGATCTTCCAGACCCAGGGATCAAGCCAGAGTCTCCTGCATTGCAGCTGTACTCTTTACTGCTGAGCTATCAGGGAAGCCCAATCACAGGATGAAGAAACAACTTTTAACTGAACACTGTCTATGTGTCAAGTGAACACTTTGAATTGAAAAAGCCTCTTCATATACTGTTTACTCTATCCTTCAAAATATCTTCTCTTATTCTCCAAACTGTCTTTTAGAAAAGGGTGTAGTACTTTTTTATTCAAGTGTTTTGTAACTTAATAATGAAAACACAATATGATCTAGAAACAGATAAGCAATAATGAATGTTGTATACTACACTTCTTCCTTAGAAGAGTGAATAACTTGAGATTATGCTACAGTTACCATTTGGTTACTATCCAGCCTCAGGAAATGCATTACTTTTAGTTGGTAACATGGAAAAAGCATGCACATGAGTGAAGAAAGGGTGCCAGCCTGCAGTAAGCCACTAAGTTACGTTTTCACATACATACTATGCTTATTCATACACGGGAGGCTTGAAATATTCAGGTATAGGTTTTCCTACACTTGAATTTTCTCACATTCGCAAAACAAGAGGGAAAGACAAATTATCGTGCAAAACAGTATCAGCAATTTTCAGCCAAAGCATCAAAATAGGAAGTTAGCCAGCAGACACTTTGCAGCCAAGCTAGATCCTAAACAAAAAGTCTATTTTGTACAAAGAAAAATGTTTTGCTTTTGTTTAAAAAAAAAAAAAGGCTGTAACTGGCAAATTTTTTTCCCTCAATGCTTGCCCCAAAGTTCAGTGTTTAACTTCCTATTCCAGATGCCTAGTGCATTACTCCAATTATAGGCAAATATTCACTACTGCAAATGTGCTTCCAATTCTGGGTGGTGGATAGATCTCCTCCTTATAATCTTATTTTCACCCACTTTTCTTCCAATGTTTTCTACAGAAAATTGTAGTATTTTTCAGCCTCCACTTTTATCAAAGATTTCAAAAGGAGAAACCAAATTTGATTTTGTGTCTGATGGAGGGCGTACATCCCCCAGGTGATACTAAATTACATCACTAACAGCAATAATATGGTTAAAATGGTCATTTCTGCCTCTTGTGTTCTCATGATGTTAACATGACATCCTAAAAAACCTGTAAACCCTAAAATACCACTAATACATCATCTTTACTGGAGGTAATGGTTATATACATGGACTTCAGAGTGTGTCATTTACTCACTGTGTGACCTTGAGCAAGTTACTTCACCATTTAAAACCCCAATTTCCTCAGTTAGTAAAAGAAGCAGTACCTTTCCTCCATAAAACTGATTGTGAGGATTAAATGAGACAATAAAGTACTAACCACAGTAAAAGCTCAAAACAAACAAACAAAAAACAACCCACCCCAAATGACCACATAAACTACATCTATACCTCTGTTAATATCCTTATTTAACAGTATAGGAAAACATTAAAATTTACTCCCCTATTTTGAAATGCTCCAGGATTAAGTTGAAATTTAACTCTGCTTGATGAATTAAAAAAGGAATCAATAAGCAAAAGATTGGAAAGGACCTACTCAGGAATACAACTTACTTAGAAAGAACTGATTATTATTCTTGACATTCTTAACACAAATCTATTAGTTCTCAAAGAGCTTAACTTGTTAGCTTAAGTAGTTGTATACTTCAAAGTAGTACAACTTAATAAAGACTACATAATTTCCTTTTGAAAGATTTAATTGCCCTTTCTTCTCAGTCCAAACTAATGACACCTTTGGGAATTCCCTGGTGGTCCAGTGGACGGAACTCAGCACTTTCACTGCTATGGGTCCAGGTTCAACCCCTGGTCTGGGAATCAAGATCCCATGAGCTTAGCAGCATGATCAAAAAACAGAAAAAGACAAGTTTTAGTACATGCCTCTCCTTGAAGTCCAATAATGATAAATATATATTTCAATATTAAAAATGTCATTCTTAAGTATGAAAATGTCATTTTTAATTACTGCTACATATTGCTTAATAGGGCTTGAAAAGAAAGAGTGAAAGTGAAAGCCGCTCAGTTGTGTCCAACTCTTTGTGACCCCATGGACTGTAGCCTGCTAGGCTCCTCTGTCCATGGAATTCTCCAGGCAAGAATACTGGAGTGAGTGGTCATTTCCTTCTCCAGGGGATCTTCCCAACCCAGGGATCGAACCCAGGTCTCCAGCATTGCAAGCGGATTCTTTACCAGCTGAGCCACCAGGGAAGCCCTAAGATGGCTTGGATATATATAAGCAAGGCACAATTCTCCAAGGCTAAATGGCTGAGGGATATGGAAGCCAGAGACAGATTAGCTGGGTTAGTGCCAGTTATGGACTCAAAGGTACCTGCTGGCAACAGTCACTCTGAAAGGCCTGCTTGCAGCTGGGTGGAACTGGTCCTAGCTATTCTCTCCAGGGGGTTTAATCCAGTTAAACTTAGTACACCAACAACTTCCTTTCCCTTGCTTTTATTAAGGCAGACGAGAAGCTACCAGTCTTGGCCACCCTAGAACACACCTAATCACTCGCCAAAGAGCGCCCTCAAAAAATCAGCTGATCTCTAGACCTGCCAATGAAGTAGAGCACCAACTGGGCTGCTTTTCCATTATGTCTGTTTTGCAGGAGAAAATGCTAGTAATAGAGGCTAGATTGGAACACCTTCAGGGATATGACATTTTAAACTGCTTTTTTACAATACAATACCCTTTAACAATAACACACCCTGAATCTGCACTGGTCAAAATAACTATAAAAGGAAGAATGACAAATCTAATTTTTTAAACAAATTTTCATAGTCACTGTGAAACTGAAACCTACTTGAACTTTTGTTTTAACTAGAAAAATCCCTTTTATTTACCTCTGATTTGAGTGTGCATGTAGTTTCTCCTAATATGGATTAAAGTAATATTTTAAAACTATGACCTATCTTCTCAACATTCTATATATTAGGCATTGTGATTAGGTTGTATTGTCACACTATTTAGGCTATCAATTATTTCCTTTCTATATGAAAAAAGTGACTATGAAGAAAGTATCTTAAAAGATCTGAAATACTTTGAGAAAATATAATTATTTCTTTTATTTACACTATATTTTTAACTGACACCTTCCAGAATAGAATACATGTAATATCTCTTTGCCTAAATTATTAAATTTCTCATGAGGAAAAAAATACCCTTAAAAATATAAATCTGGATGGGTTCTAGATGTTGAGGATCAATTTGTCTGTTTATTTCCTAACATTCACAAACTATCTTTAAATATAAACAAGTTAATTTCAAAGGTCATGATTTGACCCAGAAGATATTCAAATTCACACAGTGAGGCACACTGTGAAAGAGTTGGGGACTCGAATGCTATCAGTCTGAATTGAATGCAATAAACTGTACATCATGTTTCCCAAGAAGCAGATCAGACTCTGAAAAAAACTTTTATTACGTTTATTTTATCCCATTAGGTTTTTTATTCTTACAAGGTGAAAGTCTTCCTAACAAACCAGCATACTGACTTTCATTCCAGCTAGGACAATAAACTCTTTGAACAAGGCTTCTTAGACCTATCTAGCGAGTTTAATTATCTTTTTTAAAATAATGATTTTCCGTTGATCTATCCCTGAGGTGGAGTACAAGAGCACAAATGAAATAGCACAAAGCAGACTCTCTTCCATGCAGCTGTCAGATCTGACTCCCTTCTTCATTGGTTGACAGAGTGAAAACAAACCCCCCAAAACACCATAAGTTAATCTCCAGGAAAACAAGCCTTGCTTGCCAAAAATTCAACTGACTTGTTCAGTGTTCCTAGGCAGTTTGGAACTGGCCTAGCTCTTGGGACTAATCTCAGATAAGTCCATACTAAAGTATTCTAGCTAGGATGGTATATTAGTTCAGTGGAAGCACACTTTTATATAGCTTTCCCAAATCCACTACTTCTCCAAAGAAGTCAGATAACTGCAAATCAACAGGTTGAATGCATTCTGGAGAAAGTGTGTTTTCTGAACTGCATTTCTTTCTATTCCAAGTTCTGTGGGCAAGTTTTTAATTTTAAAATACTTAAAGTTACACCTAAAGCTTATGCTATGTTAAAGGGTCCACCCAGCCTCATTCTATTTTACTGAGCTTTATGAGAAAGTCATTAGGAGTTGCTAACTTGTATTTAGTTTTTATTTTAGGGTGTTTGGGGGCAACAGAAAATGCATGCCTCATTTCCCCAGTTACAGCCTCTTTCTCAACATTTTTCTTTTATTAATGCACACAAAAAATGACAGACTTGCCTTGTGAGGTCGAAAATAGAGATACAGGCTGAGAGGAAGAGGAAGAAACAAAGGAATCTGAAAGAAAATATACAGCGTGAGAATTTGACAACCTCACACAGGAATTTGAACTTTAACTTTTTTTTTAACTTGGCAAAGCATCGTAATTTCATTGGGTTTAAGGAAGAGGGGAAAACCCAAATCTATATTTCCAATTACTGTTTTCACTCACCTGGCAGCAAAACCTTATTTTATTTTCAAAATGCATTTCTAAAAGTTAATCAATTCAACTTCTTCTGTCAGATATTCTCACCCACAAAGGAAGAAAAGAGGAACCCCTAGAATTTTTAAATAATCTCAAGAAAGATAATGCTCCCCTGCAACTTCATGTGGGAAAGAAAAAACAGGTATCTGAGTACTAACTGGTTTTGCTTAAAACCATTTTTAACTTCATTTTGAGGAGTCAGCCATGAATATAAGCATTTAAACATATATAGTTGGCAAATATGTAAAACTGACCCTGAATACTGAAAAAAAAATTTTAAATCACAATTAATCCACTGGGAAAAACAGGACCAATGTAAGAAATCTCCTATCTCTAAAATTGGGACTTATATTTCTCTAAATTTGGCAACATATATCAAAATTTTAAATGCATAGACTTCCCCTACCAACCCCTGAGCATATTCTTTAACTTGGTAAATGTATCTGCATACATATACAAAGACATGTACATCAGTGAGGATAGCCGTAACAGCGCTGATTATAAACACCAGAAATAATCTAAGTGACCATCGATAAAAGCCTAGTTAAATAGTTACCTCCGGATAATGGAATACTTGCTGCTACAAAAAACAATGAGGTACAGCTATGTACGTTGATATATTTAATTGAAAAGCAAAGTACTGACGTGCATACAGTGTGCTTCCATTTGTTAACTGGTAACAAAAGGAACTCTGAGGTCTAGGGCAGGAGGGAGATTTGCTTTTCATTACAACCTTTGGCCTTAAAAAAAATTTAAACGAAGAATATAAATTGCCTTCAGTAAAAATGGAAAAAAAATTAATAAAACAGCATGTGAAAAACAAAACCCTGAAAAAGTACCCCTAAGTATACTGATCTTTACTTAACTCCTTTTTTTCTTGTAATTATAAAAAGGTTTTCACAAATATCAGAAATATACTTAAAATGAGGAGAGTGCTTTAAAGGACTGGGCCATTGCAATATCTGTAAATACTAATCTAAACACAACACAGGGAATATAGCCTATATTTTATAGGAACTACAAATGGAGTTTAACCTTTAAAAATTGTGAATCATTGTATTAAACATCTGTAATTTACATAATATTGTACATGAATTATACCTCAATTAAAAAAAGAAAACTATTTAGTTGACAGATACAGAGCACATTAACACCAAGGCAGAACTTAGTGGACAAGAGGCAGTAATTTGGTAACTCAAGACCAGAATTTAAAAATTCACTGTTTTTTAATTATCGTAAAATGAAGCATCACATTTACTCCTAACACTGAAAAACAGTACTCTTTTCTTTCTTAAAACAAACATTTCTATTTAATGTTTCCAAATGGGTTAATGTCTATATGCAATTATCTTCAACATTAAATCTCTGCCAAATGAATAAACCTGAAAATCTAAATGCTAAGTAAGCCCGATGCTAAAAAAGATCCCATGAACCTACCTTTTCATTTCCACCTGACACCCTCCTAATGGAAAATTGCAACACACAAATTTTTATGCAACAGCATCTATTCTGATACAGGACACAGATAACCAGAAGTAGTTTGCAACAATATTGCAAGAGCTATTTTGAATCACTGGATGTTGGAGACTGGAGAAGCAAAAGTCAAAGGACTGAAGAACTACATGAAATGTGGCTTGCTAAGGTATGAGGAGGAATTCTTTGTATTAATTTCCACTAAGAAATAAGCTGTCTAAGGCATATCTATGACAAAGTTTTATCCTTGAAAAGCTATGACAAACCTAGACAGCATATTAAAAAGCAGAGACATTACTTTCCCAACAAAGATCTGTATAGTCAAAATTATGTTTTTTCTAGTAGTCATGTATGGATGTGAGAGTTGGACCATAAAGAAGGTTGAGCACTGAAGAACTGATGCTTTTGAACTGTGGTGCTGGAGAAGACTCTTGAGAGTCCCTTGGACTGCAAGGAGATCAAACCAGTCAGTCCTAAAGGAAATTCATCTTGAATATTCATGAAGGACTAATGCTGAAGCTGAAGCTCCAATACTTTGGCCACCTGATGTGAAGAGGTGACTCATTAGAAAAGACCCTGATGCTGGGAAAGACTGAAGGCAGGAGGTGAAGGGGATGACAAAAGATGAGAAGGTTGGATGGTATCATCAATTCAGTGGACGTGAGTTTGAGCAAGCTCTGGGAGATGGTGAAGGATGGGAAGCCTGGAGTGCTGCAGGTCCATGGGGTTGCGAAGAGTCAGACATGACTGAGCAACTGAACAACAACAAAGGCATATCTTATACAGTCAAAAACCAAAAGCTATGGTTTTTCTAGTAGTCATGTACGGATGTGAGAGTTGGTCCGTAAAGAAGGCTAAGTGTCGAAGAATTGATGCTTCTGAATTGTGGTGCTGGAGACGACTCTTTAGAGTCCCTTGAACTGCAAGGAGATCAAACCAGTCAATCCTAAAAGAAATCCAACCTGATTATGCATTGGAAGGACTGATGCTCAAACTCCAATACTCTGGTCACTAGATGCACAGTGCTGACTCACTGGAAAAGACCTTGATGCTGGGAAAGGTTGAAGACAAAAGAAAAAGGGGGCAGCAGAGGATGAGATGGTTAGATAGCATCACAATTCAATGGACATGACTTTGAGCAAACTCTGGGAGGTAGTGGAGGACAGGAGCCTGGCACGCTACACAGTCCATGGTGTTGCAGAGTCAGATATGACTTAGCAACTGAACAACAATAAGGAATATCTAAGTGGAAACTGTTTACCAATATGAACAGGCTCAGGAGACAGGTAAGGGTTATAGGTAAATATCTAGGAGCTAACACTGGGGTGAGAAGTGACACCACCGGAGTGAATGAATTTGTCCAGGGAGAATCAAAGAGGTGTTAACAATGGAATCTTGAGATACACAACCAATATTTACAGAGACTCAAAAAAGAATCACTAGTGAAGGAGATAGAAAGGAGTCAATGTGGGGGAAAATGTTTTGTCACCTGAAGAAAGCTTTAGAGAATGATTAACAGAGTTAAAAGCCAAGGAGTGGTGAAGACTTTGAAATGGTCACTGAGCTTAAGTAACCAAGTAATTCAGCACTGATGACTCTATGGTTAGAGGGAGGAGGGGCCAGCCACTGAAAACTGAGGAGTGAACGGATTTTAAAAACACTGCAAGCAAGTGTGCAGAGTATGGATAATAAAGAGAAGGGACTGAAAACTGGGCAGCAGTGAGAGGGAGAGGCAGAGTTGAGAGAGAGATTTTTTAGGAATAGAAATGACAAGTGTATTTATATAGAGAACGGCGCAAGTAGAAGGAAAAAGACTGAATATGAAAAAGAAACAATATTTGCAGGAAAAAAGTCCAGGAAGTTGCTAGAAGATAACGGATAAAAGCCACAAGTGGACCTGATGAAACCTAATTTTAATATGTAATCAGATTTATAAGTAAAAGAATAAATCTGTGCCTATATGTAGTTATAAGACTGTTCATCACAAACATTAAGGGAATTTAATAAAAGTTACTAGGGACTGCTTAAATAGTTTTTAATATATCCATACAATGGGATATTATTCATTAAAAATTGTACTGTTGGGAGGGGGGATTGGGATGGGGAATACATGTAAATCCATGGCTGATTCATGTCAATGTATGACAAAAACCACTACAATACTGTAATTAGCCTCCAACTAATAAAAATAAATGAAAACAAAAATTGTACTGTTGATGAGAATTTATTCATACTAAATGATGCTGATAATACAATGAATAAAAAAGAGCATTACAAAAGTAATTTAAATAATGTGACCCCATTTCGGTAAAAAATACAAATTCATTTAAGAAGAAAAATGGATAATGATATTTACTCTTTGAGTAGAGGGACTGTGAGTTTTTTTTCTTGCTTTGAGTTTTTTAATATGAGGAACATGTATTATTTCAAGAGATTATTGTTACAAAATGAAAGGATATGCTACCCATTGATTTTTAATTTTCCTTATATTTTTGTTTACTAAGTTTTCTATTATGAACATACATTTTTCTTATAATTCCTAACACATACCTGTGCTTCCCACCTACATTAAATGGATTAGTTACCTTAGAGGGAGAAAAAGGACACCTTAAATAGGATCTCTAGCAGGTCTCTCAATGAAACCGTTTAGTGAATAATCTTACTAGTCTTTACACCACTGGATTTTCAATTTTCGTAATACTTTAAGCTTTAACAAACTGTCAAAACTACAACAAACAAACAACAAAAAACCCCTTCTCTTTGAAAACAGAGCTACATTTCACTTACAGAGTCCCAAATGTCTATGATAGACACTGAATTAAGTATTTATATACATATTAAATCAAATCCTTACAAAAACTGAAGCTTATAAATGTCAGAATCAAGATTTAAACCTGAATGTTTTTTGAAAGCCAATGCTTCTTCTCTATCTGTCTACCAGACAGATCACTTGTCTCTTTTGCTGGTCTGTAATGTAATGTATGTGGTCATGTATGGATGTGAGAGTTGTGGACTGTGAAGAAAGCTGAGTGCTGAAGTATTGATGCTTTTGAACTGTGGTGTTGGAGAAGACTCTTGAGAATCCCTTAGATTGCAAGGAGATCCAACCAGTCCATCCTAAAGGAGATCAGTCCTGGGTGTTCATTGGAAGGACTGATGATGAAGCTGAAACTCCAATACTTTGGCCACCTCATGCGAAGGGTTGACTCATTGGAAAAGACCCTGATCCTGGATTGGGGGCAGGAGGAGAAGGGGGAAACAGAGGATGAGATGGCTGGATGGCATCACCGACTCGATGGGCATGCGTTTGAGTAAACTCAGGGAGTTGGTGATGGACAGG